TGGATTGCTAGCTATTGGGGGGGGGGGGAAGGGGAAGACGTCCTCGCAGAGGAGGGAGAGCTTGTACCTGAATAAAACTTGGTCTTAAAGGTGCCACTACAGTGTTTTGGGCCGGGGAGGCGGGGGGGCCCTCTGCAACTTACCTGGCTGCTTCTTGCTCTGACTGAGGGCTGCTGGGAGCAGGGGGTGGGGCTTGTTGCATGTGCCCACCCCCTGGGCTTTTTACTGCTGGAGCTCCGCTCCTGTGCACTCCTGCAGGAAATGACCCCTGGAGATATGAGAACCCAATTAGTGTAGTGGTTAGAATACCCTGTCCGATGGGAGTCCTGGCTACAGTAGCACCCCCAAACTACAGCCCTGATCCTTAAGGGGGGGTACAACCCCATCTGGTGGAGGAAGAAGAGGAGGAGGAGGAGAAGAAGAAGAGCTGGATTTATACCCTGCCCTTCACTCGGAGTCACAGAGTGGTTTACAATCTCCTTCCCTTCCTCTCCCCACAACAGACACCCTCTGTACCGGTTTACTACATTACGTTCAAATAACAGAAGCCATTCATTTTAGAAAGGTAATGTGAAATGGACCCCTGTGGGGTAGGTGGGGCTGAGAGAGCTCTGAGAGAACTGCTTTTGAGGGAACAGCTCTGAGAGAACTGTGACTGACCCAAGGTCACCCAGCTGGCTGCATGTGGAAGAGTGGGTAATTGAGCCTGGTCCTCTAGATTAGAGTCTGCCACTCTTAACCACTATACCTCAGTTGCTGGCTCAATCGTTCCTCCCACCAGCAGCACCTCTTTTTTGACTGGGATCAGCATTATAGGACTCGCCCTGCCAGAGGTTATACTAGCACACCTCTCCATCTGTTGTACGGAGATTGGGGTGGGGTCACCATATTTTCAAATTTGAACCCCAGGCCCTCGGAGAGGCTCACTGTGACCTCCTAAGCTTCCCTTGATTATTCAAACCAAGATCCATCTGGGTCTCAGAGCTATACTGCCTCTGAACACGGAAGCTCTATTTTTCTCAAGAACAGACTTGAGCAACCCCTGTTCAGTGGACTGGGCTGGTCAGAAAGCCAGCAGTAGCAGGCACTGGGGTCTGTCTCCTTTCCAGGGCTGGTTTCCAGCTCTCCACCAGTTCATACCTGGTTGGGGGGTCATTGTGAATAATTCCAGTTCCTTCTCAGAACTTGCCTTTGGACACCAGGGAAAGGGGGCAGGGAGTGGGTGCAGTTGTATCCTGTCCCATTTTGACCTTGTGACCAGGTCTGCCAGGGCATTAGGATTGCCAGTCTTCAGGTGGTGTGGCTGGAGCTTTCCTGGGATTACAACCAGTGTTCCCTCTAAGCTGTGGAGTCTTGTGAGCAAAAAATCTACTTTGTGAGCTACTGGCATTAAAGCTATGAGCAAGTGATTTGGCTGCTGCATAAATCAGTTTGCTCTGGAGCCATCCTTCCTGAGCTAAGACAAAAATGTGTGAGCTGGAGGCTAAAAAACTGTGAGCTAGCTCACACTAACTCAGCTTAGAGGGAACACTGATTTACAACTGATCTCCAGGCGACAGAGATCAATTTAACCTGGAGAAAATGGCTGCTTTGGAAGGTAGACTCTAGGAAGAGAGAAGAAGAGAAGAGATTGGCTTTATACCCCGCCCTTCACTTGGAATCTCAGAGTGGCTTACAATCTCCTTCCCTTCCTCTCCCTACAACAGACACCCTGTGAGCAATGCTCCCTCTAAGCTGTGGAGTTCTGTGAGCAAAAATTCTACTTTGTGAACTACTGACATTAAAGTTGTGAGCAAGCGATTTGGCCACTGCATAAATTAGTTTGCTCTGGAGCATTCCTTCCTGAGGAAAGACAAAAATGTGTGAGCTGGAGGCTAAAACACTGTGAGCTAGCTCACACTAACTTAGTTTAGAGGGAACACTGTGAGGTAGGTGGGACTGAGAGAGCTCTTTCGAGAACTGCTCTTGAGAGAACAGCTCTGAAAGAACTTGTGACTGACCTAAGGCCACACCAGCAGCTGCATTTGGAGGAGTGGGGAATCAAACCCGGTTCTCCCAGATTAGAGTCCACGCTCCTAACCACTTCACCAAACTGAAATGCAAGAGCCTTTATGTGCAGGGAACCTGTGATGACTGAGAAGCTGATAACGTTTGGGAGAAGACCCCACTACAAAGGACCCTAAGCAGGAAGAGGATGCTATCTTAGCTGAATGGTCCCCCAGCAGCTGCATGTGGAGAAGTGGGGGATCAAACCCAGTTCTCCCAGATTAGAGTCTGTGCTCCTAACCACTACACAAAACTGGGACATTATACCCCACTGAAATCCCTCCTTTCCCCAAACCCCACCCTCCTTAGGCTCCAACCCCAACATCTCCAGGTGTTTCCCAACCTGGATCTGGCCACCTAGCAGGTCCATCCATGCAGGTGTGATTGGGTGGCAATGGACTGGTCCATGCCTTTCACCCTCGTCCAGGAACCCCTAGGAGAAAGGTTTTGGCTGTGTGTGAGAAAACAACTGTCCACATGAAGGCCAATGGATGTTGGTAGAAGCCTGGTTCTTGAGAAGGATTGGTCTGCCCTCTTCTGGGTTTAGGGTTGCGGTGCTCATCTCTGTTTCCAAGCCGAAGAGCCAGCGCTGTCCGAAGACGTTTCCGTGGTCATGTGGCCGGCATGACTAAACACCAAGGCGCACGGAATGCTGTTACCTTCCCACTGAAGTGGTACCTATTTATCTACTTGCAATTTCTTGCTTTTGAACTGCTAGGTTGGCAGGAGCCGGAACTAGAGACGGGAGCTCACTCCATCATGCGGCACACTCGGATCTCGAACTGCTGAACTACTGACCTTCCACAGCCTGCAGTTCAGCGTCTTAACCACTTGAGCCACCGCAGCTCCGGGGAGTGGGATACAAAGGTTTTAATACATGGATGAGTTAATGGCCAATGCTTGGCTCCTCCAAGGGCCAGGGGGCTCTCCAGCCAGGTCAGGCCACTCTGTGGAAGTGGTGCTTGGATTGCCAAGCAGGTGTGTCTGAGGCTGATGCCCTGAGAAGGAAATGAGGCTCATCAGTTGGTCTGAAAAGGCGCTGCAGCCTGCAGAAGCTTCTTCACGTTTCAAGGTGGGTCCTTTGAGGATGGAACATCCCCCCCCCCCCGCGCCTGAGCCACAGCCTTGAACGCAAGCCAGCTTCCTGCTCATCTTCTGTCTTGCAGAACAGTGGAGGTTCTTCCCCCTGCAAATAACAGTTCTGTAAAGACTTCCACGTCAGGCTCTCTGGAACGCCAAGCACAGCCAAAGAAAGCAGAGCGATGCAATTCGATCCCCCGCTTTCCGGATTAATTATTACAGATTTTTATGGCTTGATGGCCTTATGTAATGTGTGTGTTTCACATAATCTCCCAATAATCAGCAGATAACTGCTCCAAATGAGAGCACGTTGCTGAGTTCAGCAGCCTGGTTCAGTAGCCTGGTGTGCAGAACCATCTCTAGCAGCCGCCTGGTATTGGCTTGGACCCTGGTGCGAATCCTGAGCCTTGAACAACCAGAATTAACCCAGCAAACCTATCTATCTATCTATCTATCTATCTATCTATCTTGTTATTACGCCCTCCCCAAAGTAGGCTCAGGGCAGATCAAAACAAGCAGAGTCAAAGACTCATTTCAATAAAATTACATGACATTAAAAACATTAAAACAGTAAAATTCAGAGGTAGAGGCAAATTATATAAAAAGTCTGCTAGGGTCATATAGGTGGAATCAATGAGCACTTCAGTAGATTGGGAACTAGAGCAGGGAGGCCAACTAAAACGGATGCTCCCCACCTCACCCGAAGGCCTGGTGGAACACCTCTATTTTACAGGCTCTGTGGAATGATCCTGCAAGGTCCCCTGACCTCCAGTGTATGTGTATGTTATGTGGAAAATGTAATAAAACCCTGCCCCTTTGGGGGCAGTTAGAAAGAAAGAAAGAAAGAAAGCTAATGCAATCTTAGGATGCATTAACAGAAGTATTGTGTCCAGATCAAGGGAGGTGGTAGTTCCGCTCTATTCTGCTATGGTCAGGCCTCACCTGGAGTACTGTGTCCAGTTTTGGGCACCACATTTTAGGAAGGATGTTGACAAGCTCGAGGGTGTCCAGAAGAGGGCAACCAGGATGGTGAGAGGGTTGGAATCCAGTTCTTATGAGGAAAGGCTGAAAGAGTTGGGTATGTTTAGCCTGGGAAAGAGAAGGCTTAGAGGGGACATGATTGCAGTCTTCAAGTATTTGAAGGGCTGTCGTGTAGAAGATGGAGCAGATCTGTTCTCTCTTGCTCCGGATTGCAAGACTAGATCTAATGGGTGGAAATTACAACGGAGTCGTTACCGGCTAAATATCCGGAGAAACTTCCTAACTGTAAGAGTGGTTGAGCAGTGGAACAGTCTGCCTCGGGAGGCGGTGGATGCTCCTTTGCTGGACGTTTTCAAGCGGAGGCTGGACGACCATCTTTCGGGGATGTTGTAGGTATGTAGGGCTATCTTTCGGCTATGCTCCTGCAGAGTGCAGCGGGTTGGACTAGATGACCTGCAAGGTCCCTTCCGACTCTAACATTCTATGATTCTATGATCTTTTAATGGAAACATCTGCAGAAAGTTTCTAGCCTGCAGGATCGCTGGCACTGGAAGTGGGCCGACCAGCATAACCTGGGGAACAAGGAGCTTAATTCTGACCCCCTTAGAGGGCAGGGCTCCCAAAAGAATTAACTCTCCAGCTGCTGGGAAGTCTTTGTCCTGGTCAGGAAGAGCCCCGGCAAGTTCTAATGAATGAATAATTCCAGCTTTGCCCTGCCAGCTCAGACCCCTCCCTGCCATGCCCTCCTCATTTTCTGGCATCGATCACGGTTCTGGCAGCAGCAGCCACTGCCAGGGTGCCAAGGTCCGCTCCCTGCATGCCAGAGCCTTTATAAAGCCTTTGGAGGTGGACTCCGGCTCCTTCAAGCTTAGGGCTCCAGCACCATCTCTGCCATGTGGAGAGGGATTGTGTCCTACTGGAGGTATCTGATCACCTTGCTCATCCCTCTCCTGTTTCTCCCCCTGCCTCTGGCTGTTCCTGGCAAGGTAAGGCCCTTTTCAAAGGCTGTGTGCAGGGAGACGATACTGAACCCCACCCCAACCTACCCCCGTCTCCAGATCACGCTACTTCCAATGGAGAGGGTATCCAAGATCGGTACGCCCACTAAGCTGGTTGTTACCTGTTGTTGTGCTTGGGATTTAAGTCTCAGAGATTCACAGAACTGTTTTCAGGAAGAACGGAGCGGCAGCAGAGGTTAGGTGTGTGCAGTACAGAAGTCTGTGTGCCCTTTTAGTCCACAGTCAGAACACACAACACTGGAAGATGATACAAAAACTAATTTGGGATATTATGAATGTAGAAATATTATTAACCCCAGAGATAGCATTACTAAATATGATACCGGAGAGTTATAACTACAATGATAAATTTTTGCTAGTATATATTTTGACAACTGCAAGGATACTGTTGGCCAGATATTGGAAGCAAAACATATCCCCCACTACAGAAGAAATCAGTTATAAACTCTTAGAAGTGGCAGAAATGGATAAGTTAAGCTTGATATTACAAGGGAAAGATGAAAAAGTATTTTTGGGAAGATGGGAAAGATTGTATATTTGGATTGATAAAGTGTGGAATGTGTAGACTCAAAGATGTAAGGAAAAATGTTTGTAAACAACTACTAAGAGAAAAACCAATAAATAAACCGGGGGAAAAAGAACACACAACACACACGTGCGCACACACACGCACACTGAAGAACGTGCTGGACTGCCAGTGGTTTTCAGATACCTGTTTGCTGAAGAGGTTTTCGGTGTAAAAGAGAAAGTTGCTCAGTTGTAGTGGTAAACTGCACAGAAACCCCACCTGTCCTGCCCTGTGCCTCCCCACCCACTCACAGTTTCATCACCTTGTGGCCACAGAGGACAAATCAGGAATTTGTCAGGGATGCTTTAGGCTGGTCCTGCATCAAGCAGGGGGTTGGACTAGATGGCCTGTATGGCCCCTTCCAATTCTCACGATTCTAAATGTAGCTGGTCGCCTTTTTTTAAAGCTGGAGGTCTTCCAAGCATCCTCTAATGGGATGCGGTCATCTACAAAGAAGAAGCAAGCCAGAACAAAACGTCTAGAAGTTTCTAGAATACGGCACAGATTGGTTACAAGTGGAAACCACATGGAGGGGAGCTGCTCACTGTTTGCTTTCAGATTTGGCCTGTCAGTCAAGTCTATACATCTACGGGGCTGGCTGCATCTGCTCAGTCCCCCAGCAGCAGGCAAAGTCCAGTTATCGGCATGGCGAGAAGAGGCATAGCTTTTACCTTGTGGCGCCCAGGCTGTGGGATGGGCTCCCCAAAGCAGTGCAGCAGCACACCTCTCTTTCGGGACTTTTGAAATGGCTTCTTGGACAGTTGAGTCCAGTGGCACCTTTAAGACCGACAAAGACTCGTGCCTCTGTCCCCAAACAAGCTAAATAACTGCAGAAAGAAAAGAGGGGAAAAGTTATCTATAAGGAATTCAGCTAGACTGGCTTGCTGCCAAGTGCCAACAGGAACGCTACCCCCCTCCCTCCCGCCCGCCAAAGCATTCTTTCAAGCAGAGTTAAATAAACCAATTCCTGAAATTAACCTTCCTCTTCCGCAATCTCCTGGTTTTGCATCTGAGGTTATCAATTAATTGGTAGAAGTTGCTAACTGGTGTTTGTTTTGGGGGTGGGGAAACCAAAACTGAATGGAAAACTGACCACATAGTGCAATGGAGGGTAAACTACTCCGAATCTGAAGCTGTACTATTTATTAGCTAAGCTGATACAGTTATCTAAATGGGTACAGCGAGATGCAGATCATACATGGTTATCAACTGAACAACCATAATGGCCCCGGTCACACTAGCGAGAAAAGCCGCTGCAGAAGTGCGGCTTTTTAGAGCCGTAGCAAATTGAAGCGCGGCATCGGAATCAGACAGATCCCCTGAGATGCGCTGCGCTGCATTTGCTCCCCGGCATGATCACATGCCGAGGGGGAAGCGATGGGATGAAGGGCGAGGCAGCTGTGCAGTTGTGCGCATGCGCAGTGTGGCAGGGCCTCGCATACCATGGGATACCGGTGCGTCAGCGATCACATGCCCGCCCGTGCTGTGCGTTTCCAAGTAGGTACTAGTGTTTTGCAGGTATCGTTTTCGGCTGGAAGGAACGGGTTGGGGGCGGGTGTGCGACGCTTGCCAGATGTTGGCATCTGATCGCGCCGGTTTAATCCGCCCTCAACCCGTCCGTTTCGTGGGGCAAATCCTCCCGTGTGACCGGGGCCAATGTTAACCTTTTTGCTCTTAAAAGTACAGTTGCGGGTGAAGAAGTCAGAAAGAAAATCCTGTTATCATGATGACAAGTATCTGATAGTCGCGAAGACATCATCTGATAGAACTGTGGGATCAGGTGAACAGATGTCTCACCTTTGATTCCAGCCTTGAAAGAGATGGTTTCCATTGTAGGAGGGCAGGATGTTGGCTGTAAAAAAAAATGGAAAGAATATGGATTAGGATATTTTTGTGACTTCTTAATGCAGTAGCACCCTATGAGGAAGTTAGTGTTTGCAGTAATTGTGGCATCTATACAAGCGAGGATTTATTGACAGCCAAAAAAACAACAAAGTTTGGATTATGGCTATCAGGAGATAGATCTTGGCCCCTGTCACACGGGCAGGAAACTGCAGAGGAGAAGTGTGGCTGTTTGCCCCGGGGCAAACTAACATGCAGTAAAGCGATCAGACCTACTGTGGAGGTTCTGTGGAGGTACTGTGGAGGTTCCATGGCAAGGGAGAGGTGCCGATCACAACACACGCCTGCGCGCAATGAAGAAGCGCGTGGCGCGGCGAACTGGTTTTCTTTTTTCGTGTACACTACGAATGCGCATGCTCCGTTGGGTGCGTGTGCGCATCCACTGAGACATGGGGGGAAAAAAACCCTTTTCCGCAAGGGGACATGAGCGGGCGCCGGATACCACCGGAAACGCGATCAGACGCCCGCCCTTGCCCCGCAGTTTCTGGAAACTAGTACCTCCAAGGTACTAGTTTTTTGCTGCGCTTTTTCGGCAGGAAGCCTCAGTTGTGGCACGGAAGCGCTACGCTTCCCAGATGTGCTGGTGAGATCGCGACCGGAAACTCCGCTTGTCTTCCGTATCTCTTGCGTGGCTAATGTTGCGTGTGACCGCAGCCAGAGTTCCCTTTCCAAGATGTGACATGAATTACTTAAATTAAAAACAGTGTATTGAGTAAGAATCTTGTTTTAAAGGAGCTGCGGTGGCTCAAGTGGTTAAGATGCTGAACTGCAGGCTGTGGAAGGTCGGTAGTTCAGCAGTTCGAGACCTGGGTGCCGCATGACAGAGTGAGCTCCCATCTCTAGTTCCAGCTCCTGCCAACCTAGCAGTTCGAAAGCAAGAAATTGCAAGTCGATAAATAGGTACCACTTCAGTAGGAAGGTAACAGCGTTCCGTGCGCCTTGGTGTTTAGTCATGCCGGCCACATGACCATGGAAACGTCTTCGGACAGCGCTAGCTCTTCAGCTTTGAAACGGAGATGAGCACCGCAACCCTAGAGTCGGATTCGACTGGCTTTCGAGCAAGGGAACCTTTACCTTTACCTTTACTTGTTTTAAAATAGCGAGAGGCAGTGGGGTATGTCATTAACTCACACATTTGGATCTCCTAATACCTACAAGTTCATCATTCCTGACAATCTTACATTTCAGTAGATCATTCTGAAGCTGCTGCCTCAATGGTATCTATCTCAGTGGAGATTAGTTAAGATGTACAAAAAATGTTGATGGGAAATGTTGTTTTTCTCAATCAGTCAGTCAATAATTCAGAGCAGGTCAATGTTCTAAATGTGATTTTGCACAGACACTGGAAGACAGTTTTGTCTGTATTGTTAGTAAGGCTTGACCCAGAAACAAGATCTACTCCAAACCTGGCTTTGTTAAGTAATGTTGTTTCAATCCACACAAAAAGCAGACAAGCCCTTGCTTTGACTATCTTAACAGCTGCAAGACTAGACTATGCAAAATTATGGAAACAGAAAGAACTTCCAAACAAGCCGAAGTGGTTAGAAAAGGCAAGAAAAATTTACAAACTGTTGTTGAACAGCTCTATAAAGATCCCAAGATATACAGAAATTAGTTTTACAATGGTGGTTGGGGAGGATTCAATATGGAATTCTGCTCTATAGTAGCCTAACAAAAGTTTATTTGTGAACTCTGAATGGAAAATTATGTAAAGTGTGTGGGGTTTTCCCCCATTTTGTTCCTTCAAATGAGTTTTGTGTGATTTTAATGATGTATCATGGATATTCTTGCATATTGCGTAAATTTCATAATTTAAAAAAACAGTCGCTCCATCTACAAGCAGCATTACCAATCAATGTATTTCAGCGTACTTCAGTGTTGCTCAGTTAACTCTAATGCCTTTATTAGAACCTGCATTTCTGGGGATAATAAGGAATCCTTCATGGATGGTTGCCCAGCTTGCCAATTAAAGTCCTTTGCAAGGCTCCCATACAGGAAGGAGGAGGTCCTCCTCAGACTGTGGGGAGAAATATCTCTCTATTTTTTTGCAGGCAAGGCCCTGGGCTCAGGAGATGTCATTATATCTAGTCTGCCCAATGCTTGGCCAAAGAGCCACTGGGGGGAACTGCAATCTCTCCCTGGACCCATTCAGGATTTTCCAGGCCATTACACACAATCTCTGTTGACAAAGCACTGCGCCAGAACACTTGCCCTGACCCTTGTGCCCCCTTTCCCAGGAAGCACAATGTGCTTACACCATCATCTTGATGGCGCTCTTCTGGTGCACGGAAGCACTGCCGCTGGCGGTCACAGCTCTCCTGCCGGTTGTATTCTTCCCACTCATGGGCATCATGGACTCCTCAAAGGTAAGAGACAGCAAGCGAGCCAACTGGCAACCGAGGGAACCCGAGGCCAGCCTCAGTACTTCCCCCCCAGGCCCTAAGGAGGTCTCTCTGCAGCTAGAGTTGCCAGCTTCGGGCTGGGAAATTCCTGGAGATGTGTGGTGCGGAGCCTGGATAGTTGAAGTATCTCAGCCAGGTAGAAGTCCACCCGCCAAGCCAGCCATTTCCTCAAGAGGAATTGGTCTCTGTGGTCTGGGGACCAGTCGTAGCTCCAGGAGGTCTCCAGGCTCCACCTGGAGGTTGAAAGGTAGCAAGCAGCCGTGATGTATTGTGCCAAAAAAAAAAGTTCTTCACGGACTTATAAATTCTTTTTACAGTAAACCTGGGGTAGCTGAACTCAGCTGCACTGATTTCCAGTGTGCACCTTCTGCCTATCCCTTCCCCACATCTATGGCAAAGGGTGTGACCTGACCTTCCTTCCTTCGTTCCCGGCAGGTGTGCATGGAGTATCTGAAGGACACCAACATGCTCTTTATTGGGGGGCTGATAGTGGCCATCGCTGTTGAGCACTGGAATCTGCACAAGCGCATTGCCTTGCGGGTCCTTCTGATGGTGGGAGTCAGGCCTGCCTTGTGAGTACACCACTGGGGGCAAGGGGAGAGAGAGGGAGGGGAAAGGGCTATTTTTGGGCAGGAACGCACAGGAACGGAGTTCCGGCTGGCTCCCGAGTTGGCCACACCCAGCAGGAACTCATTAGCATAATAGGCCATACCCAACAGCAGAAACTCATTAGAATTGGCCACATTAGGGGTGTGTGGCCTAACATGCAAAGGTGTTCCAGCTACAAAAAAAGCTCTGGGTTTTGACAACAAGGTAAACAGAATAAGAAGCAAAAGGGGTGTGTGGCTGGATGACCACACTTCTGGTAACATGGGGGTGCGGCCTAATATGCTAATGTGCTGTGCTGACAAGGGTGTGGCCTAATATGCTAATGAGTGTCTGCTGTTGGGTGTGGCCTATTATGCTAATGAGTTCCTGCTGGGCTTTTTCTACAAAAAAAGCCCTGGGAAAGACGGATTTATTTATTTACTTTTCTCTGAAATTGCAAGTAGATAAATAGGTACCGCTTCGGTGGGAAGGTAACAGCGTTCCGTGTGCCTCGGCGTCTAGTCATGCCAGCCACATGACCACGGAAACGTCTTCGGACAGCGCTGGCTCTTCGGCTTGGAAACGGAGATGAGCACCGCCCCCTAGAGTCAGATTCGACTGGCTTTTGAGGAAGGGAAACCTTTACCTTTATACCCTGCCCTTCTCCCCTAGGAAGACCCAAAGTGCACATCTGTAGGCATTTTTATACGTGGTCTTACAAGCAACAGAAAGGTGGGAGTGTGGAGATGCTACAAAGAGAGGCCAGTTTGAAACAATAAGTAATCAAAGAGAGAGCAGTCCATCCAGAATGGGTGATGAAAGGAGAGTGCAGGGTGAGATGAAAAGCAAAACGAACTAACGTTTGTAAAGGGTGGGTCATGTTGAGCACCTATAATGAGGAAGGAAATACAAGTCCTTGACATAGGACGGCATATACCATATTGGAGGATGAACACGAGATCGTAGAGCTGGCGTTATTAGATCCTGTAACAGCACTGTCTGAATAAATATGGGGACAGTGGTGGCTTCTAAGTTTATTGCAGAGTTCACTTCCTGATTGATGGTCCATTGTTGTTGGTGAGAAGGTATTTTAAGCGGGGGGACCTATCTGTAAGGGAGGAAAGGCCTGCTACTCACAGTCGCTGAAAGAGAAATAACTTTTTCCAGGTAGTTGATAGTCTAGTTGATAACAGAGTGTAGTTGGCAATGTCAATACTGTAGTTGATAATGTGTTGCAATGGTTTCTGCTGGAAGCTGTAGGGGACAGCCAGCAACGATCTGTTCCTATCTCCTTTGGACCTGTCTCATAGCAGGCTGCTTTGGGGTACCAGTCTGGCTTTGTTGATCTGCTTCTTTACTTCACTGGGCGGGAATAGTAATCCTAAGAATTCCTGTTGCAGATCCTTCTGGTGAGACTCCCTGTCCTGAGGGATTGGAGCAAATGCGATTGTGCTTGGCTGTAGACAACGGATTGCTTTACATGTTCTAGAACAGTGATGGCGAACCTTTTAGAGAGCGAGTGCCCAAACTGCAACCCAAAACCCACTTATTTATCGCTAAGTGCCAACACGGCAATTTAACCTGAATACTGAGGTTTTACTTTAGAAACTTTATTTCTACATTAACTTAAGATGATCCAAACAAAGTAAGGAAAGCAATCCCAAATGCTTTCATTTACTTAAAATTATTTGGCAGAGAATTCCACACTTTAATGATGGTCTGGGCCTGGCTGGGGCGATGGCACACGTGCCCACTGAGAGGCCTCTGAATGCCGCCTCTGGCACGCATGCCATAGGTTCGCCACCACTGTTCTAGAAGGAAACTGGAAGCATGTAGACATGTGTGGCGGCCAGAGGGTTTTCAATATGTAACGTGCCATTTATGTGTTCACTGCATACTTGCACCGTGGTGTCCAGAAAATGTACCTCTTGTGAGGGCTGGTCCATATATAGGTTGATGGCAGAGTGAAAACAATTGAAGTCCTGGTGGAATTTCTTGAGAGCTTCATTCCCCTGTGTGCAGACAAGGGAATTGTCATCAGTCAGTCGCAGCAACAGGAGAGCTATTCCTGGGCAGGAGCTCAGGAAGCGTAGCTGTAAGTCAACCATGAAAATGCAGCACCCATGGATTTTGATCCGAAGGTATGAAGTGCTGCCAATACTGAAGTAGTCGTGGATAAGGTCAAAGTGGCAGTTTGGTAGCAAGGTTTGCAATGGTATTATTGGTGGCTCGTCGTCCACCTTTGTGGGGGGATATTGGTACATGGAGACTTCAGCATCCGTGGTGACCTAGTTAACGCAATGAGCTAAATAGACCGTTGGTGTGAACTGGCAGGAGGGCCCTGAGGGGTCAAGAACCATTTGCAGATCTGACCTCAGACCTCTTCCCGCTCACCCAAGTCTCCACTGTGGTCTCCACTCATGGCAGGCTTCTGATGGGCTTCATGGGGGTCACCGCCTTCCTCTCCATGTGGATCAGCAACACAGCCACCACGGCCATGATGGTGCCCATTGCACATGCCGTCCTAGAGCAGCTGCACAAGACGGAGCTGGAGAGGATCGCCGCCGAGCAGGTGGCCGTCAAGAATGGGACTGCCAACGGAGGCTTTGAGTTGCAGGAAGGGACCCCTCCGCCAGGTAGGTGGCTGTCGAAACCCCTCCTCTTGGATCCCTCTCCAAAAGTCATCTCTCCTCCGGAGCATGGTCCTGCCAATTGATTGGCAGACAAGGCATCCTGGGGGATTTTGGGGATCCACAGTCTGGTACTCCACATCCCAGCAAAATGAGGCTCATATTTGGCTTGCGTGCCCCTGGCTTTTTCATAGGTTGCCTTAAGCAAGACCTAAGTGCTCAGAGGGGGGGCACAAGGAGGCATCTTCTGACTTTGTAAGAGTCCCCATCTCAGCAGACATCTGGATGGACTCGTTTTGGGGGGGGGTGCTGCTGTTCGGGAAGAAGAGAGCTGAGTGGTTTCTTACACTGCCTTTTAGCTCTATCGACAGGAGGGTTTGAGTCTGTCTATCAATGGAAGACGACTTAGCTTTCCTACCAAACTCTCCATCCTGGGCCTTTTTGTTTTCGGCCATCAAATCGCAGCTGACTTATGGCGACTCCGTAGGGTTTCCAAGGCGAAAAATGGAACGGAGGTCCTTTGCCATTGCCTGCTTCTGCATAGCAACCCTCCAATTCCTTGGTGGTCACCCTTGATCCAAGTACTAACCAGGGCTAACCCTGCTTAGCTCCCAAGATCTGACTGAGAGCTAAGCAAGCACAAAGAAGTAAACCCCAGCGTGTCAGTAGGGCTTACTGCTCAAGTAAACACATGCAGCAGGGTGTTCTAAGGGAGGGAAGGCAGCATGGGATATAGCCTGGTCTTGTCAGATCTCGGAAACTTAGCAGGGCCCATACCTGGAAGCAGGGGTCATTTCCTGCAGGAGCGCACAGGAGCGGAGCTCCGGCATTAAAGAGCCCAGGGGGCGGGCACATGCAACAAGCCCCACCCCTTGCTCCCAGCAGCCCTCAGTCAGAGCAAGATGCAGCCAGGTAAGCTGCAGAGGCCCCTCCCAGCCCCTGGTCCAAAACAGTCCAGTGGTACCTTTAAGACCAAATTTTATTCAGGTGCAAGCTCTCCCTCCTCTGTGAGGACAGATCTGCATGCCCCCCCCCCAGCTAGCAATCCAAAAGAGTCCAGTGGACCCTGAGCGGTGGGTTTTGCCTTCTGACACACTTCCAGTGATGTCAGGGGTTGTGGCATATGCAAATAAGTTATGCTAATAAGTTATGCTAATGAGCTCCTGCACCTCTTTTTCTACAAAATGAACCCTGCTCGGAAGGGAGACCTCCAAGGAAAACTCTGCAGAGGAAGGGAATGGCAAATCGCCTCTGCCTCTCGCTTGCCCTGAATGCCGCTGGCCGGGGTCACCATAAGTCAGTTGTGACTTGACAGCACTTTACACACATGACGCAGGGTGTTTTATGTAACAACTTCAAGTATGAACTTGGCATGTAGCTCCTCCAACAGTCCCTCCTTCCGTAAGTTCCTTAAAGCACACCTTTCTGGGAGTTTTCCCATTTTATCCTTGCAGCCACCCTGTAAGGACAGGCTGGATCGAGAGAGGGGGGCTTGCCCCACGTCCTGAAGGGCCTTGACCCTTGCCAGCCCTCTGCTCTCATCTCATGCTGGCCCAGCCAATCTTCTCCCCCCCTCCCCCTCACAGCTTATGAAGATGTGGTGACCGTGGAGAAAGAGAATGAGCCAGTCAACCAACAGCAGCTTGAACAGAAGCATCAGACTTTTTCCAAAGGAATGAGCCTCGCGGTGTGCTACTCGGCCAGCATCGGTGGGATCGCGACCCTAACAGGCACCACCCCCAACCTGGTGCTCAAGGGACAGATGGATGAGTGAGTACCAAAGGGGCTGGAGAAAGGTCTGGCTCCTTGCTGGGGGGCCAAATGAAACCACCGCCAGGAGCGTGGCCTGATCCTGCGTCTCCTTCATCTTGAAGGGCAGTGTGGTGTAGTGGTTAGGAGCGCGGACTTTAATCTGGGAGAACCGGGTTTGATTTCCTGCTCCTCCACATACAGCTGCTGGTGTGACCTTGGGTCAGTCACAAGATCTTTCAGAGTTGTTCTCTCAAGAGCAGTCCCCAAAAGAGCTCTCTCAGCCCCACCTACCTCACGGGGTGATTGCCATGGGGAGGGGAAGGGAAAGGAGATTATAAACTGCTCTGAGACTCCTTCGGGCAGTGAAGGGCAGGGTATAAAACCAATCTCCTCCTCCTCCTTCCATTTTATGCAAATCAGGGATGAGCCATTGAAGCGCATGCTCTGCCCTCCCCAAACCTGCCACCACCCTGATTCAGGTCCTGTTATGAATGATGCACACCCGTTTGCAAACATGAATCTGCTGTTTTCAACCTTTACATTCTCAAGAAAACATCTTAGGCTTGCCCCTGAAAAACCATAACGTGTGGATTGGCCCGTTTCTCTAACACTTCTTGGCTGAGGAGATCAGTGGCCCAGTCAATAGGCATCAGGATCAGATGATCCAGGGGTACAGAATCATATCAAGCCCATTCCGGTGGAAGCACAAAGGGATGACTGAAAACGGGACTGTTTCCAGGACCCCCCTGGTGATGAGAGTCCCTTTTTCTTGCTAGCCTCTTTCCTCAGAATGGCAACGTGATCAACTTTGCCTCCTGGTTCAGTTTTGCTTTCCCAACCATGGTGCTTCTTCTGGTGCTCTCCTGGCTGTGGCTGTTCCTGATATTCCTGGGCTTTGAGTGAGTCGATGGGCCCTGCAGCGGTGGTCTGGGCGGTGGGGTTGCCAGTTTTGGGTTGGGAAATACCTGGAGATTTGGGGGGGGGTGGAGGCAGAAGAGGGCAGGGTTTGCGGAGGGGAGGGACTTCAGCATAGTACAGTGCTGTAGAGTCCCCCCTCCAAAGCACCCCTTCTCTCCAGGGGAACTGGTCTCTGTCATCTGGAGATCAACTGTAAAAGTGGGAGATCTCCAGGCCCCACCCGGAGATTGGCAGCCCTAGTCTGGGGGGGGGGGTTCTTCCAGAGGCATCACCTCCCTGCTTGTGTGTTTGCCTGCATCTGGCTAAAGGCGGCACGAGGAAGAGAGAGAGACACACACACACTTTGTGGCGCCTTCTGCTGTGTCCAGCATCCTGTGGAGGCAGGTTGCAGAGCATTCTGGGATCCCTGAGCGAACTGATCTCTGCAATGCTGACACTGGCTCATGGGACTCAGCAGGTCACCTGCGACACGTCTGACGGCTCCTTTGCTCTCCCCTTCCCAGCTTCAGGAAGAGCTTTGGCTGCGGCGTCAGTGAGTCAGACAAACGGAAGTCGAAAGTGGCCTACCAGGTGATCAGGAGCGAGTACCGGGCGCTGGGCCCAATGAAATTCTCCGAAATCACCATCCTCATCCTTTTCATCCTCCTGGTGCTGCTCTGGTTTACCAGGGAGCCTGGTTTCATGCAGGGCTGGGCAGATCTCGCCTTCGACGTAGGAGGGAAAAGGTGAGAGGTTGGGCTGCAGCTCTCCCCCACCCCGGCTGTCCCGAGCCTGCATCCAGCTACTCCTGGGTGAGGGTCACAGCAGGCCCGTAGCCAGGATTTTGTCATTCCGGGGGCCTTTGAAGAAGTCAAAAATTAAAATCACTTTTGCAGCATCTGCACTCTTCCTGCCTATGTGAGGAAGCACGCCGCACTTGGGGAAGGGGCGGCAGTGGGGACTCCTCTGGGCGGCCCAGAAAGCTGGGGGGCCTGGGGGCTGGATGGGAGTTGGGGGGGCTTGGCAGGAAGTTGGGGGGCCGGGCCCCGAAATGCCCCACTGTAGCTATGGGCCTGGGTCACAGGGAGAGGAGTATCTTTGGCTACCTGTGCCTAGTGACGCTTTGTCTGGCCATTGCAGTCATTGGGGGGGGGATTCATCCTGGGCTAGGGGGTTACCATATTTTGAAAAGCAAAAACAGAGGGCTTATTTCCCGACTGCTTCAGACAAACGATCCCTATGACAAATATCATTTGAATTACCCCTATTGTTTAAGCTCCATCAGTGGCTATTAGCCACAAGGTATAGATAGGGTCTCTGGGTCAAGTGATGCTCTGTGCATCTTGGTGCTTGGGGGGTTCAACAGTGGGAGGGCTTCTAATGTCCTGGCCCCACTGGTGGACCTCCTGATGGCACCTGGTATTTTTGGCCACTGTGTGACACAGAGTGTTGGACTGGATGGGCCTTTGGCCTGATCCAACATTGGCGTCTCTTATGTTCTTAAGCTGTGGTCATTGCTACTAACTAGGAACATCCCTAACCTACCAGCCCCAAAAGAGGACATTTTCATCATTTTTTTAAAAAGAGCCCAAAAGAAGAGGGACACCAAAACAGGAGGACATGTCCTCTAAAAAGAAGACAGCTGGTAACCCTGTTCTGGGTGCACTGAAAGCTCCCCGAGTCCCCTTGCAAAGAACCATCCTATCAGATATGGAGGAGACATTTCCGCCTACTTCTTTGGGGGACACCGGGGGACAGTGGAACATGCTCAAGGATGATCTTCAGTCCATAAAGGCCACCTTGCTCTGGGGGGGCTGCTGCTGCTGCTGCTGTTTCGTATCCATTTATGCAGAAGTCAGGGTCTGCAGTTCAGAACAAAGGGGGCCTTCAAGAAATAACTGGGGTGCACCATTTCTAGAAAGTAGCTACCCTGAGGGTAATGCTGCGGGCTGTGCTTTTGCTGTTATCCACCCTACCGTATCCCCAGTCCTTAGGGATGCCTGAGAGCCAGCTGTGGTGTAGTGGTTAAGAGCGGCAGGCTCTAATCTGGAGAACCGGGATTGATTTCCCCACTCCTCCGCATGCAGCCAGCAGGTTGACCTTGGGTCAGTCACAAGTTCTCTCAGAGCTCTCTCAGCCTCACCTACCTCACAGGGTGTCTGTTGTAGGGAGAGGAAGGGAAGGAGAATTGTAAGCCATTCTGAGACTCCTTCGGGTAGTAAAAAGCAGGGTATAAAAAACGACGACGACTCCTGCTTCTCCTCCTTCCTCTTCCTCCTCCAGCCTCCAGGTCGGACCTGGGGATCCCTTGGAATTACAGCTCATCTCCAGACTGCTGAGAAACAGCAGTCTGGAGATGAGCTGACTTCCAGAAAGCTTTTGATAAAGTTCCTCATCAAAGGCTCCTAAGTAAGCTCAAAAATCATGGGATAGAAGGACAAGTCCTTTTATGGATCAAAAACTGGCTAGTTCATAGAAAACAGAGAGTGAGTGTAGGTGGGCAATTTTCTCAGTGGAGGGTGGTAAGCAGTGGGGTACCACAGGGATCAGTACTTGGTCCACTGCTTTTTAACTTGTTCATAAATGATTTGGAGATGGGAGTAAGCAGTGAAGTGGCTAAATTTGCGGATGATACAAAGTTGTTCAAGGTGGTGAAAACCAGTGAGGATTGTGAGGCACTCCAAAGGGATCTGTCAAAGATGGGCGAGTGGGCGTCAACATGGCAAATGGGGTTCAATGTGGCCAAGTGCAAGGTGATGCACATTGGAGCCAAAAATCCTAAATATAAATACACATTGATGGGGTCTGAACTGGCAGAGACTGAGCAAGAGAGAGATCTTGGAGTTGTAGTGGATAACTCACTGAAAATGTCGAGACAGTGTGTGACTGCAATAAAGAAGGCCAATGCTATGCTGGGGATTATTAGGAAGGGTATTGAAAACAGATCAGCCAATATAATAATGCCCCTATATAAATCAATGGTAAGACCTCATTTGGAATACTGTGTGCAGTTCTGGGCACCACACCTTAAAAAGGATATTATAGCTTTGGAAAAAGTGCAGAAAAGGGCAACTCGAATGATAAAAGGGTTGGAACACTTTCCCTATGAGGAAAGGTTAAAGCGCTTAGGGCTCTTTAGCTTGGAGAAAAGACGACTGAGGGGTGACATGATCGAGGTTTATAAGATTATGCATGGGAAAGAGCAGGTAAAGAAAGAGGTACTTTTCTCCCTTTCTCACAATACAAGAACTCGTGGGCACTCCATGAAACTGCAGAGCGGTCGGGTTAGAACGGATAAAAGGAAGTACTTCTTCACCCAAAGAGTGATTAACACATGGAATTCACTGCCACAGGAAGTGGTGGCGGCTACAAGCATGGACGGCTTCAAAAGGGAATTAGATAAGCATATGGAGCAGAGGTCCATCAGTGGCTATTAGCCACAAGGTATAGCTAGGGGCTCTGGGGCAAGTGATGCTCTGTCTTCTTGGTGCTTGGGGGGGGGGTCAACAGTGGGAGGGCTTCTAATGTCCTGGCCCCACTGCTGGACCTCCTGATGGCACTGGTATTTCTGGCCACTGTGTGACACAGAGTGTTGGACTGGATGGGCCTTTGGCCTGATCCAACATTGGCGTCTCTTATGTTCTTATGTTCTTATATGTTCCTCTGAAGGAAATGGCAGCTTTGGAGGGTGGACTCTATGGCCTTGTACCCCACTGAGGTCCCTGGCCTCTCCAGGCTCCACCCCCAAAATCTCCAGGAGTTCTCCAGCCTGGAGCTGGCAACCCTACTCCCCACTCCCTGCTGGCGGTCATGAGGGACCCTGGCAACCCTGTATGGATGCTCTGGCCTCATCCTCCTTGTCCCTGCTCAGCAGATTCTACCTCTTTTCCTCCCAGCTACGTCACAGATGCTACCGTGGTCATCTTCATTGCTCTGCTGCTGTTTCTGCTTCCCTCCGAGGTACCCAGCTGTTGCTCCCGAGGGAGAACCCAGCAAGAAGGTAAGCAAGCTGCACAGCCAGGGACTGGGGTGGACTGGGGTCTAGGGTGGATAACCCTGGATTGGAAAATTGCTGGAGATTTGGGGTTGGAGCTTGGGGTGAGCAAGATATGGGGAGGCGAGGGACCTCGGCAGGGTATGACACCATAGAGCAGGGGTGTCAAGCTCATTTATAATGAGGGCCAGATCTGACATAAATGAGACCTTGTTGGGCCGGGCCATGTGTGTCATAAGATGTAATGCCAGGTAGCAGAGATATAAACTTTATAAAGGACACAGACAAGCACAATTAAAGATTTTTTAGACTTTAAATAAAACCCGCTTAAAACACCACCATTCTTGCAATATTTGGTCTATTTAACAGTGTCTGATAACTGACACCTCTTGCTCTGAATTTATTGCATCAAAATGTCTGTGCCATAGCAATCTTGAGTATGCTGTTCAGGTGTGTATCTGTAAGCTGCAAACCTTGCACAGGGGAGGCTTGCCTATCTATCTCTCCTGTGCAACTGAGAGGCTGGTAAAGTAAGTTGTGATATAGCAGCAGCAGAACTGGAAAAGGAAGCAGGAAACAGCCAGGGCCTTGTGGGCCGGATTGCAGCCCTCTGAGGGCCTGATCCGGCCCTTGGGCCGCATGTTTGACACCCCTGCCATTGAGTCTACCCTCCAAAGCAATAATTTTCTCCCAGGGAACTGATATCTGTTGTCTGGAGACCAGTTGGAATGCTGGGAGACCTCCAGGCCCTACCTGGAGCTTGGCAACCCTGCTGGTGTCATTTGCATGGTGGGTTTTCTGCAAGGGCTCCTTTCTTGGGGATCACTGTTACATATTGATGTCACATTGTCCCCGATAAAGCAATTTTACTTGCACTCTTAGGCAGGGCTTTTTTGGTAGAAAAAGCCCAGCAGGAACTCATTAGCATAATAGGCCACACCCAACAGCAGAAATGTATTAGCATATTAGGTCACACCCCTGACAGCACAGCTCATTAGCATATTAGGCCACACCCCATACCTTCTCTTGGCTTGCCAGGGCAAGCCGGCCCTTGGACAGGCTGGGGAAGGCACGGGGAGGCATTTAATCGGAGTTACCGGGGGGGTCGCTCTCCAGGCCTTCCCTCTGTAGCCACGCACACGCAGAGGTTTTGGCTGTAGTAGGTGTGGCCAACTCTGAAGCCAGCCGGAACTCCGTTCCTGTGCGTTCCTGCCCAAAAATAGCCCTGCTCTTAGGACTTAAACTGGAAGGTATATATTGGTACTGATATTCTTTCCAGTATAATGCAACTACTTCTGACACAAGGCCGGATATATTTGCGGCCCCAAATAAAAACCTTTTGTGTGTGTCATTCATATTGGAACATTCCATTTTTGGTCCTATGTTATTCATCGTTTATTGCCTTACATGTGTTACTGAGACTGTTGCCTGGTGTATTTGACCTCTGAAGAAGGCTCTCGTGAGCTGAAACCCGTCAGGTTGTGCATTGTTCTTTTTTTGTGTGCAGTTGTCACTTGAACATTTTATGAGGCTTAATTTGAGCCCCTACAAGGTTTTTACATGTCTTTGAAATAAATACTCTTTTGTCTATACTTATTTATGTTTTTTAACTTGCGGCCCTCAATAAGTTTTCTAAACTTCCTTTGGAGGTTTCTGCTTGGTTGGTTTAGTTCCCCCCCCCTTTTCTTTGGGTGCCGTTGTTCTGCAAGGGCTCCTTTCTTGGGGATATTCTCCCTGCTCCAGGCTGAGATTTAGGGCTGCCAACTCCAGGCTGGGAAATACCAGCAGATGTTGGGGGTGGAGCTGAGGAGGGCGGGGTTTGGGGAGGGGAGGGACCTCAACGGGGTATAATGCCATAGACTCCCCCTTCCAAAATGGCCATTTCCCTCAGGTGAGCTGATCTCTGTTGCCCAGGGTTGCGAGGTCTCTGCCGGCTACCGGCAGGGGATGGTGGGGTACAGTTGCCAAACCCAGGTCGGGGAACTCCTTGAGATTTGGAGATGGAGCCCGGGGAGGACAGGGACCTCACTGGGCTACAGTATGTCAGAGTCCTACAACAAACAGGCTCAACAGCGTTCCTTCCAGAAGGATCAAGTGTATTGAGTTCAGTAGAAACAGGTCATCTGTGCACACAGTTTCTGTGTAAAGGCTAACACCACAGGCGGGAAGGGGGACGATATCCTGCTTTTGAAGCGAGACCCTCTGATGGGAGCAAGCCAGAGGTGCCAACCTTGTGCGCTCAAAGTAATGGCTACAAGTTCCCAGGGAGGTGAAAGCACGAAGCATCAAGGTGAGAAAGTGCAAGTTAACATTCCAGGACAATAAGATGTCCACTCTACCACTTAGGCGAGAAAGAAAGAAAGCGGATGTTCCTGAAGCAACAACAGAAAGCGGCAGATGGACCTGAGCAGGGCCAGCTCGCTCACTAGGCAAACTAGGCGTTCGCCTAGAGCGCCCCGGCCCTTAGGGGCGCCAAACTGCACCCCCTTCCCGCCAAAAGCACCCCTGCTGGCTCTGATGGGGGGCGCATGGGGGGCGCCAGAAGGGATCCTCACCTAGGGTGCAAAATATGCTGGGGCCGGCCCTGGACCTGAGACAGTGGAGGAGAAAGAAGAAGAAGAAGAAGAAGAAGAAGAAGAAGAAGAAGAAGAAGAAGAAGAAGAAGAAGAAGAAGAAGAAGAAGAAGAAGAAGAAGAAGGAGGAGGAGGAGGAGGAGGAGGAGGAGGAGGAGGATAGGGAAGATTCTGATACCATCTCGATTAGTCTGGCAGAACCCCTTGATCCTGAAGCAGAATCAGGGGCTCCCACCCCTAAAGCATTTAAAAACTAATTTGGACTTTGAAATGAGGAGAGGAAAATGCAAAACAGTTTAACTTCGACAGCCTGATGTTTATTCTTAATGCATAACTTTAAACCTATGATATTTACACTATAGCCAAAGAGATTGTGATTGCTTGCTTGACACTTTTATATTATTAATCCTCATGTTTTACTATTAAGATGATAGGGGTGTATCAACAATCTTATATTTCTGTACCATGGATCCTTGTTACTCTTTATTTTAGGTTGTTCCCTTCCCCTGACCCTGTAGGTTTGTAGTTTAGAAAATAACAAAATTGAAATGATGTCCACTCTAGCAACTCCCTTCCCCCACCAACCATGACAGCATAGCTGGCACAATGCCACAGAGCCTACCATCCAAAGCATCCACTTTCTCCGGGGGAACTGATCTCTGTAGTCTGGAGATGAGCTGTGATCCCCGGTGATCTCCAGGGGACCACCTGGAGACTGGCAACCCTAGGCAGGGGCCCTGCAGTGCGGCAGAGTTTATTTATTTATTTAATTAATTAATTTATACCCCGCCCTCCCCGCACGCAGGGTCAGGGCGGCTTACAAAACACAGAGGTGTAATACAACACCACCATTTAAAACAATAAAGGCACACAGTGCAATAAAAATACAGTTAAAACAGTTTAAACACCGTGGACAAACTCCCAGGATCCATCGCGACTAGTATGCTCACTTCCTATTGTACATCACATTGGGGTCGATGAGAGGGGTGCAGTGGGCCACGATGTTCGGTGGCCAGTCAGCCCAACCTGGCGGTACTGCTCTGCAATCGCCCGTTGGTGGTAGTGGCGGCGGTGGCTCCTATTCAAAAGCCTGGCAGAAGAGCTCCGTCTTACAGGCCCTGCGGAACTGTAACAGGAGCTCATTCCACCAGATAGGAGCCGCCGCCGAAAAGGACCTGGCCCTTGTGGCAGCAAGCCTGGCCTCCTTAGGGCCCGGGGTCACTAGGTGGTGTTGTGACCCCAACCGAAGTGCTCTTTGGGGCCTGTATGGGGAAAGGCGGTCCCTCAGGTATGTCGGTCCTCCTCCCTGGTGCTCAGTGGCAGCTTTTTCATTTCAGGCGGGCCAAAGCGGATGCGGGCCCCCCCACCCCTCCTGGACTGGCAGACGGTCAACCGGAAGATGCCCTGGAACATTGTCATCCTCTTGGGAGGCGGCTTCGCCTTGGCCAAAGGCAGCGAGGTAATCCCTTCGGCCCCTTTAGCTGTGGAGAAGCCTTTCCCTTGGGGAAAACTGGGGCTCTCCCCTTCCTCTCGCATGTCAGCCATCCTCAAGGAAAGAGGGGAGAGGAGCGCGAGGTTGGGGCCCACATCAACAGTTTACCCCACATGCATCAGCAGTTACCCCAGCCAAGCAGCAGGGGGCGGCCAAGCAGCACAGCAACACCGGCAAGGCCTGGAGACACCGGAGCAGGTCCCTGCTTGTTCAGCAGATCGGATTGGAGAGGAAGGATGGGATGGAGGAAGATGGGTAGGCCAATCCTTTGCTGTGAGTCAGGGCCCTTCCCTGCCCTCTGGCTGACTCTGGGCGCATCGCAGAGAGGTGCTTCCCACTGGGCCGGAGCAGAGGGGCCATGGCTCAGTGGCAGAGCCCCTGCTTGGCATGCAGAAGGTCCCTGTTGAACCCCCGGCGTCTCCTGTTAAAAAGGATCAGGTGGGAGGTGATGTGAAAGGCCTCCGCCTGAAACCCTGGAGAGCTGATTGACATCAGACCATACTGACCTTGATGGACCAATGGTCTGATTCAATATAAGGCATTTTCGTGTGTTCGCGTGCCTGGGTAACAAAGCCCACATTCATAAATTCCAGCACCAAGTTGTTAAGGTCTGCTACAAGTCCGAAGTGGTTGCCAAAAGGTTTAATTATTAGAGATGGGCCATGGCTCAGTGGTAGAGCATCTTCTTGGCCTGAGAAGGTCTCAGGTTCAATCCCCGGCATTTCCAGTTAAAAGGATCAGGTGGTAGGTGACGTGAAAGACCTCTGCCTGAGACCCTGGAGAGCTGCTGCAGATCTGAGTAGACAATATTGAATATGTTGTCGAAGGCTTTCATGGCCGGAGTTCATTCGCTGTTGTAGATTTTCCGGGTTGTATGGCCGTGGTCTTGGCCTTGCGGGACCTGCTGTTTCGCCAGTAGCTGTGACTGGCATCCTCAGAGGTATAACACAGAAAGATGGAGTACTCTCTGGGTGATTTCCCACAAGCGCTGCTCCGCGCTCCCTCCTCCCTTTTGCCCTGATGGTATGTGTCAATTTCACACAAGCTGCTGCGCGGCCACATTTTGCCCCGCAGCTTCGCGCGATTTCCCCCGTGTCTACTCAATCCTCAAAAAACAGGATTGAGTAGACGTGGGGGAAATTGCGTGAAGCTGCGGGGCAAAATGCAGCCGCACAGCCGCTTGTGTGAAATTGACACATACCATTGGGGCAAAGAGAAGGAAAATGGTAGGCAGGTAATGCATATCTACTCAGGAAGGTGAGGTAGGGCTGAGTCATTATCTTGTAAGAGTTCCCCAAAGACAATATTGACTTTGATGGGCCCAAAGGTCTGATTCAGTATAAAGCAGATTCACACGTTTGTGTGTCTAGGTTGTAGAGCCCAGGGGCAAGACCTGAGCCATGGAGTGTTCCCTCCGTCTTTGCTGCTGCAACTGCTGCACTGGAGCCTTCTCCCCCCTTTTCCCCCTAGGCTTCTGGTCTGTCCAGATGGCTGGGAACCAAGCTGACCCCTTTGCAGAACATCCCTGAGCCGGCCATCTGTTTCCTCTTGAGCCTCTTGATTGCCGTCTTCACCGAGTGTACCAGCAACGTGGCCACAACAACCCTCTTCCTTCCCATCCTGGCTTCCATGGTAAGTGGAACGCAAGCCCTGAGCCCAGAATACGCCTCCTTTGCTGACCCAATAGACTACTGGATGCAGCCAAGCACTTTCCCATCAGGGTGCCATTCAAGCCACAGCCCTGGGCTAGGCACAGCCCTCTTGGCACCTCCTAGCTTGGAGATGCCAGCCGGTGGTTTCCTCTTGCTAGCTGGCATGTGGACGAAGGTTTCCTTCTGGGTTGTGGCTCTCAGGTCAATGCAAAGAGAGAGGGAGGAGAACATAAAATAGTAATTAGTGCTAAGGGAGAAGGGGGCAGGGGGGAAAAGAAAGAGAGTGAGGGAGTCTGCTGGAAATTTGCCAAGGATTTCTGGCTGATTCTGCACCCACCTGTTCCCTCACAGTTTTTCCACAGCCACATCCAGAGGTTAATCTCCCTCTATGTTGCTGTCACTTTCTTTGTTCATCGGGTTTTATGGTACCTCCTGCATAGATTTATGGCCATTCAGGGGTGGCTTCGCAGTCAGTACAGCGTTGCCCCGGGGTATCTGAATGTGGTTTTGAGTGGCACCGTTTCCTTCCTCCATTTCCAATTCCAAGCGAACAATAAGCAGACAACTTGACACGGTTTCACTGATCTCCGTCAGTTCCCCCTCCCCTATTTCCCCCTCCGTATTTGTCACCTCGCCATGAATTACTTGGCTCAGGTGGCTAATGACCGCTGAGGCAAATACTGACACAGGAAAATCTGCATACCAGTGATCTGAGGCAGTGCAATGAAAACAGATATTCCGTGGCAAGCGGGAACCAGGTCGAGTGCTGATAAAATGCGAAGTGAATGCCAGATGCAGAGTGGACCTGTCTTCTTCCTCCAGGCGCAGGCAATCTGCCTCAACCCCTTGTATGTCATGCTGCCATGCACACTCTCTTCCTCCTTGGCATTCATGCTCCCGGTGGCGACCCCTCCCAACGCCGTCGTCTTCTCCTATGGACAACTCCGAGTCATAGACATGGTGAGCGCGCTCTTGGCTTTGCTGGGTCGAAGAATCAGAACAGTCTGGGTTGCTTCCCTGGGGAGTTTTGCCTCTGCCTTCCCCCAAATTGCAACTTTTTTGGGAAGGGCCTTCCTCTCGTTTCCCCCCACCTTCACTGCACATTTCCCCAAATCTGCTTTGATGCAATCCTTCCTGAAGGAACGTCCTCAGCGTGGGGGGGGGGGGTCTGTAGTCACGTACACCGATTTCACACACACTAAATAACGCGCTTCCAATCCACTTTCAGTGCACTTTGCAGTGGATTTTACTGTGTGACGGGGCCAAATCCACTTGCAAACGGTCGCTGAAGCGGATTGAAACTGCATTATTTGGCATGTGTGAAAGCACCTGTAGACAGGGAGGTGCAGATTTATCTCTCTCTCACACACACATCTGGCACCATTTCCCCTTCCTATCTCCTGATGACCGCTCCTCCACCCCACACCACTGACAGGCTTTTTCTGATTTTCCCCCCCTCTGTTGCTGTAACATTTTAGAGCAGGGATCCTCAACATGGTGCCCATGAGTGCCATACTGCCCACAGACACCGTTCTTGGTGCCTACCAAGTGTGTTTAGGAAGTCGGTGGTGCTAGGCAGGGCTTTTGCCTGGCAAGGCTCCTGATTGGCCACTGGACATTTCATTGGCTGGTCACTGGACAAACTAATATCCCGCCCCCAAGGAGGGATGTGTCCTCTGGGTCCTAAGAATATAAAAGCTACTTTGGGTTGGGTTGGATCCAGGATGCAGCTAGCCCAGCACCCAGGGCCTGGAGCCCCCCCCCCCCCAGCTTCTGACAATCAGAGGTTGACTGCTGCTGTACGTGGAGGTTTTTCTTAGCCACTAAGGCTATCTGCTGGTCCCTTACAGTTCTTCCTTCCTGCCCTCAGGTCAAGGCTGGCAGTATGCTGAACGTGTTGGGAGTGCTGACCATCACTCTGGCCATGAACACCTGGGCCTTCTCCTTGTTTGATCTAGGCAACTTCCCAGCTTGGGCCAACACCACCTCAGATGTTCACTGCTGATTCCTGGAAAGGCACTCTCCTGGCCCAGAGCTGCACATCTGGACCCCTGGGTGCCATTGACGCCTTTGTGGCTCACTTCCGGGGAAGTGAATACATCAATGGGCAGCCTCAGCCTCCAGGCAGGGGCACTGCTGCCCGCATCGCTGGCCTTCCTCTCTCTCGAGGACTGGCTGGAAACTGTCTGGTGGGAAGGGCACAGACTGTGCCTGTGAGAGACCCAGCCGAAGCATACTTGGCTGTGGAGCACACGAACAGCTGATGCTCCTGCCCAGTCCTCTCCTGGCCCAGGTGGCACAAGTCCCTCTGTGAGCCGGGCTCTTACACTCTACGGGTGTCTGCGAGGCACACACCGCTGCAGAGGAGAGAGGTGTTGTAGCAGGGTATTCCGCGACCATCCAAGCCAGGGCTGCTTGGACTACCACCATGGTGGTACCCGCGTTTTTATCTTAAGGAAGCAAACACTTGTTTTTGTTAAGTAAACCTTGTTTTGGACCAGCCCTGTTCTCTGAGTCATGATCTCAATGGTGCAGTGCAGAGTTGAGGAAAACTGCAGAGGAGAGGCACAAGGTTTTCTTGTCACCTCAGATGGACACATGTGTCTTGTTGGAATGGGAGAGAGGCTGTGGATGCCTCACCACTCCCTTTCTGTCTGAAGGCGGGGGCCAGAGAACGGGCCAGGGGACACCTCACCCCCCAAGACAGGGAGGAGATCCCAGCAAAGGCCTCTTTTCAAGAACAGCCAGACAGCATGAGATCGCTCCAGGAAGAACCTGGGCATAGAGTTCTCAGACACACACACCCCCCGGCTCTCTCAGGTTCTCTAATGGCTGCCACCACTCCGGTATGTATGGGTCTCCTCTGGAGAACCCTGAGCACCCACCCTACCCCTTTATACTCTCTTCTCCAACAGGTTTCCCCTTATAAGTGACTGAATGAGGCGTGGTGACCCAGGCAGAGTAACACACTAGTTTTATTAAAGAGATTTAATAACAGCTGGAGTTCAACAACATGTAGGATAAATAAGCACAGTAAAGGTAGGTAAAGGAGCTGGGGTGGCTCAAGTGGTTAAGACGCTGAACTGCAGGCTATGGAAGGTCAGTAGTTCAGCAGTTCGAGACCCGGGTGCCGCATGATGGAGTGAGCTCCCGTCTCTAGTTCCAGCTCCTGCCAACCTGGCAGTTCGAAAGCAAGAAATTGCAAGTAGATAAATAGGTACCACTTCGGTGGGAAGGTAACAGCGTTCCGTGCGCCTTGGTGTTTGGTCATGCCGGCCACATGACCACGGAAACGTCTTCGGACAGCGCTGGCTCTTCGGCTTTGAAACGGAGATGAGCACCGCAACCCTAGAGTCGGATTCGACTGGCTTTCGAGTAAGGGAACCTTTAAAGGTAGGCAAACCAGCAAAATAAGAAAGCCTAACGCATCTGACTCTACTACCCTAGCCTGCTCTAGGTACCTGGTCTCAGACTAGGGTTGCCAAGTACTTACCGTGAATTGGTTGGGGACACATGGTTTCTGGCCGGAACATTCCTGGTTTTCAGCCCCATTGCCAGAGCGTCGCCCGGCTACGTGCCCAGCATGCTGGCGTCACGTCTGTGCGACAGCATAGTGGGGCACAGGTGTTTTCCATGCGGGGATGTTCTGCCAAGAACTATATATCCCCCGCCGATTTGCGGTAAGTACTTGGCAGCCCTATCTCAGACTGACACTCACCCCTTTCGGATGAGGGATCCCTCTTTCTGCAGCAGCCTCACCAGCCCTGCTCCCTGAGAGAGGGAACCCCCCCCCCCCCGCAACTTTGGGCAAAGCCTTTTATACCTTCTTCCCAGGCCCCACCCCCTGCTCCCCTGCTGGTATAGTTTTCCCCTCCAAAATCCCCTGTTAGCCAGTCACAAGGTCCAGAGGGTACCTGGGAAACGTAGGCCCTCTAGTCACTCTAATACAGGCTTCCCGGGAGCCACTAGGCCTCCCTAGAGCCTGTAGGCCGTACCACTACAGGCCCAGGATCGTGACACCATGCCATAGCTCTAAACAAAGGCACTGCACTTCCGGACGTGTGGTGGGCCGTCCCTTTGCTGTGCAGTCCTGGTTAAAAGCAGTTACTGTCCTATTAAAGAAGCCACACAAGCCTTCAGATTCGGCACACACCCCCTCCCATGATGGTTCTGTTCCGGCCCTGGCCTCGACCCCGGCCAGATTCGCAGCCCACGAAGGGAAGTCGGGATTGCCAAAGCAGAGCATGTCGGGGCAGAGTTCAGGCTCCCAGGCTGCCGGCTTATTGTGCACTCCCCAGCGGATTTGCATAACATTCCCCTTGCAGGGGAGTTCCTCTGCCAAGCAGCTCCAAATCCTTTGGGCACCTTCCCTTTCTCCTTCCCCTCCAGGGTTCGATCCCAATCACACAACTCAGCTGGTAGAACAAGTACCAATTTGGCAACAGAAGTGTGTGCCAAAGGAGGGGAAGCAGGTGCCTGCCGAACCCCAGGCCTGTCTGGAAGCCTTCTTGCCCGTTAGAAGACGGGTAGGTGTTGATTTCAAGGAGCGATCCCTGTGGGGCGAAGGCTGTAGGACAAGAGAAACAGCCAGGAGTCTAGTGGGGCTCCCACTGACAACTTGGCAGCTGTCCTGCAGACTCTTGAAGCCCTGCCAGTGTATACCTATGAAGCTGCCTTATGTCGAATCAGACTCTTGGTCCATCAGGGTCAGCCTTGTCTACTCAGGCCGGCAGCGGCTCTCCGGGTTTTCAGCTAGAGGTCTTTCACATCAGCCACAACCTGATCCGTTTAACTGGAGATGCCAGGGGGTTGAACCAGGGACCTTCTGCATGCCAAGCAGAGGCTCTACCGCTGAGCCGCGGCCCCTAGGGCATACCGGCTTGGAACAAAAAAAAGAGGGAAAAGGAGCCACAACGTTATGGATTTGGCACCATTATCCCCCCCACACACCTGTTTGGTCTGCTTGGAGAGCTGGTTTTTTTACCTGCTTAGGATGGAAAAGATGGTCCTTTTATATGTCCTGAATAGTGGTGGGAACCTTGTATGTCAGGCCTTTCGTTGTACAAATGGAGCATGAAGAACACAAGAACATTGGAAGAGCCCTGCACGCTGACACCAAAGGTCTATCAAGTCTACCACAGTGGCCAGCCAGATGGCCTTGGAAGGCTCGCAAACGAGGACACAGACACACTAAAGTCCTTCCGTGAATACATGAACACAAAATATATGCCATCTTAAGGGCATTACAAGAAAACACAACATTACCATATCAAAGATACTGGGGGAAAGTTTGTAAAAGTGATCTCACCCATGACCAGTGGGTAGACATCTGGAGAGCCTATGAAAATAGATCTCCCATCATCACACAAAAATGGCAAAATTTCAGAATAATGTCCAAGTGGTACAAAACCCCTCAACAAGTATCATACATCTCAAGCAATTCAGATCCCCTCTGCGGGAGGGGATGCAAAGAAACAGGCAATTACGTACACTGCTGGTTTGAATGCCCTGTAGTAGCATCCTTCCGGGACAAAATAATAGAGGGAATAAGGATCATGACTGAACACAAAATAGACAAAACTCTGGAAGCATTACTTCTAAATCTCAGACCGATTTCCCACAAGCGCTGCTCTGCGCTCGCTCTTCCCTTTTGCCCCACAGCTTCCCGTGATTTCCCCCGCGTCTACTCAATCCTCAAAAAACAGGATTGAGTAGACGTGGGGAAAATCATGCGAAGCTGCGGGGCAAAATGCGGCCTCGCAGCAGCTTGCGTGAAATTGACACGTACCATCGGGGCAAAAGGGAAGAGCAAGCGCAGAGCAGCGCTTGTGGGAAATTGGTCTCAGAGAAGAAACTGCTCTATCCTTAACACAAAAGAAAAGAAACAGTTTACTACTATTTGCAGCCAAAACCACAATAGCATCCACATGGAAATCCCAAAACAAATTAAACATGAACCTCTGGTATAAAAAACTGGAACCTATATGTAATGGGGGGGGAAACCCTCAGACATTTTGAAACAAAACAAACCCAAAGGAAAACACAAATGATATTGCATGTATATGGTCTCCCATTTTAGCATATCTAACCATCAAAGAAACAGTAATAAGTACTCTTCATCTTTTGTAGCACTCAGGAAATGTATTTACTGACACACAGTATGATTTGTACGGAAATGAAACACATCACCCTATAGATTAGACTGAATAGAGAGCTATATGTTTGACGTAGAGTATTATATGTATAGGTAGATAATATGTACATGCTTATCTTGCACAACCTTGTTGTAATCATGTAAATGGGGGGGAAACGAATTTGGAGGAAAACTGAATACATGAACACATGAAGCTGCCTTATCAGGCCACAGGTCCATCAAAGTCAGTATTGCCTATTCAGGCTGGCAGTGGCTCTCCAAGGTTTCAAGCAGAGGTCTTTCACATCACCTACCACCAGAACTTTTAACTGGAGATACTGAGGATTGAACTTGGGACCTTCTGGAAGCCAAGCAGATGCTCTACCACTGAGCCACAGCCCATCCTCCAAATGCCTCTCTGCAACTGGCAGAGGTATGTTGCCTTTGAACATGGAGGCTCCATTCTTCTGTTCTGGCTAATAGCCATGGAAGGCCCCCTCCTCCCTCATTATTTTGCCCGCTCTCCTTTAAAAGCTAGCTAAGATCCCTTCCTGTAGCACTGAGTCTGCAACTGAAGCTGGGGCTGGTACTCAAGTCCCACTGAAGGAGAAGAAGAAGAGAAGAAGAGATTGGATTTATACCCTGCCCTTCACTACCCAAGGGAGTCTCAGAGCAGCTTACAAACTCCTTTACCTTCCCCTCCCCACAACAGAGACCCTGTGAGGTAGGTGGGGCTGAGAGAGCTCTGACAGAAACTGCTCTTTTTGAAGAACAGCTCTTATCAGAACTACCGCTTGCCCAAGGTCATCCAGCCAGGTGCAAGTGGAGGAGTGAGGAATCAAACCCGGTTCTCCCAGATTAGAGTCCGCGCA